GATTATCAAGCAAAAAAAAAACACTACTAAATAACTAGCCAAATGTCATTGATCTTTCTGTACCTACATACCATTTTTGGTTTTGTTTGTAAGATGCGAGTAACTACTCCCTGTGCTCACATGAATACATATGTATTTAAGTACTAAATATATAAGTATGATTAAAAAGAAAGTGTTAAATATATAAAAGTTTTAAACAGTTTTTAACTGAGTCACAAAAAAAAAAAAGCTTTTAACAGAAAAGCTTTTTAAATATGAGTGAAAGTACTGTTTTGCAGTGTAGGAAAGCTCTCCTTGTCTGCTTATTTATATACTAAAAAGCAAAATGAAATAATACGATTTTGGACAGTCTGAAGGAAACACTTCCGCAAACCCAAGAAATTCACTCCCAAAAAAAATATCTTTGAACTCTTTTCTTTTCTCAACACCCACTTGGAGGATTACATGCTATTATATTTTAAGTTTTTTTTTTAATGTTCTTCATCATAGAGTTAAACATAAGGAAAATTCTTAAACCGTATAAATATCGAAGATATATATATATATATGTGGACACCTAAGATTTGAACAAGTATATATGTAAATCTTGATCGATCGTTCCGAAAATTTTCAACACATAAACTCCTAGAAAATAATACTCCTACTCAATTTTTATTCGAAAGAATTAGGATGACCTAGAACATTATATCCCTTACATAAAGGAGAAAGAGGCATACAGAATGGAAGACAAGAAAAGAGCAACCATAGAAGATAGACTAACAATGAACAAGTTTTAAACAACTTCGTGTTTTGCTCTTTTTGTTTGTTGTAAAATTACCCAACTAAGAAAAGAGTTATCATAAGTTTATTGAACTTATATATATCAGCTGGCAAACTTGTAAATCTTAGAGAATATGATTGCAAAAGGTTGAGTTTATTATTGATAATCAAAGAGTATATATAGTTACATAAGACTTGATGTACAAGGAAAGAATATTTAGCAAAGATATTAATCGGAAATTATCCATATCCGTAACACTCCCCCTCAAGGTGGAGCGTGTAAGTTAAGAACGCCCAACTTGGACCGTAGATACTGAAACTGATCACGACCCAGAGCTTTAGTGAAGATATCGGCTGGTTGTTCATGAGTGGAGAGATAAGCAGTAGCAATGGTGCCGGAAACTATTTCATCTCGAATAAAATGGCAGTCACTCTCGATATGTTTCGTCCGCTCGTGAAACACCGAATTAGCTGCAATATGAAGAGCGGCTTTACTGTCACAGTATAAACGCATAGGCTGAGAATGTTTCACACCAAGAAATAAGAGTATCTCCTTTAGCCACAAAAGTTCTTTACAAGTCATAGCCATAGCTCTATATTCAGCTTCAGCCGAGGAGAGAGAGACGCGAGACTGTTTCTTTGTCTTCCATATAAGAGGAGAATCACCAAGCATGACCATATAGCCAGTAAGAGACTTACGAGTCTTCGGACAAGAATTGTAATCGGAATCACAATATGCATTCACTTGAAGTGGAGCCGTGGAAGACAAGACAATGCCTTGGCCTGGAGACGATTTTAAATAACGGACTAAACGTTGAGCTGCTTCCCAATGATCAATAAGTGGAACTTGCATGAACTGTGCGAGTATATTTACGGCATAACTAAGCTCAGGGCGAGTGTGCGTTAAGTATACAAGGCGACCAACGAGACGACGATACTGATCAGGTGCTTCAAACGGATTACTAGTAGAAGAGAGAAATTTGTGATTTTGCTCTAATGGAGTATCAACAGGACGAGCACCGGAGAGACCACATTCTTCAATTATGTCAAGACAATATTTCCGTTGAGAGAGGAAAATCCCGTCTGGTCCATGAGCAACTTCAATACCAAGAAAGTACTTCAACATACCAAGGTCTTTCATCTTGAAACACCGACTCAAATAGGCTTTAAATGATGCTATAATTTTAGAATCATTCCCGTATACGATCAAATCATCAACATAAACAAGGACATGAAGTACAACTGACCCACGATTATAAGTGAAGAGTGAGTTGTCTTTGTGAGAACGAGTGAACCCGTAGTCGAGAAGAGCTGTGGAGAGCTTGGAAAACCAACATCGTGGAGCCTGTCGTAGACCATAAATGGACTTCTTTAATTTGCATACAAGAGACGGATCGGCGGGAAGAAAACCTGGAGGAGGTTTCATGTATATATCTTCGTCGAGATCCCCATGTAAGAAAGCGTTGTGAACATCCATTTGGTGAAGTTCCCAATGTTTAACCGAGGCAACACCAAGAAGAGTACGAACTGTTTGTAGCTTAGCAACTGGGGCAAAAGTTTCAGAGAAATCAACACCCTCTTTTTGATGATTACCGAGAGCGTCTAAACGGGCCTTATATCGTTCAAGTGTACCATCCGAATTGAATTTTAGTCGATACACCCATTTTGAACCCAATGCCTTGACACCGTGGGGAAGACGCTCAAGTGTCCAAGTTTCATTTAGTTCCAAAGCATCAATTTCTTTGCGCATAGCTTCACGCCATTCCAAAATTTGAACTGCTTGCTTATAAGTAACCGGTTCATCCACCATAGTCACAGCTGCAAGAAATTTTTGATGCGCCGAACTAAACTTGTCACATGATATATAATGTGTTATAGGATAGAAACAGGTACCTGAAGATGCTGGAGAGGACTCAAGCTTGAGAGAGACAAGGGTTTCAGCGTGACGTGCAGAGTGAGCAACATACGGAGGTTGTAAATGAACTGATTTCATTTTCTTTCTATGACCTCTTCCTAAAGGTTCAGTTCCAAGATCACATTCATCGGCAGTTACATTTTGAGGAGTGTCAGAATCACTAGAAGAGTCAACGGTAGTTTCATCAGAAATATTGTTGGGAGTATTAGCAGCGGAATTATCAATAGGTGCAGAATGGTCCGAGGTGGATTCTGGTAGAACACTCCCCTGTCTATGAGACGCTCGGGCGTAGTTTGATCAAGAAGCTCATCATCGGATGATAACGGGATTGGCATGACGAGAGGAACAGATGAAGAATCAGATTGTTGCTCCTTAGAGTAGGGAAATGTATCTTCGTTAAAAATAACATCCCGAGAGACAAAAAAATCTTGTTTCTCCATATCATAAACACGCCAACCTTTTTTATTATGAGGATAGCCCATAAAGATGCACTTACGTCCTTTCTCTTGAAATTTATCATGACTCGCCGAATGTCGTTTTGCAAAGCATAAGCAGCCGAACACTCTTAGATGATCATACGTTGGAGGAGTGGAGTGAAGAATTTCATGCGGAGTCTTACCATCAAGTAATGGAGTAGGTGTACGATTGATTAAGTACGCAGCGGTCAGTACACTTTCTCCCCAAAACTTTATGGGTAGATCAGCTTGAAACAGTAGAGAACGCGCCATATTAAGAATATGACGATGTTTGCGCTCAACTCTACCATTTTGTTGAGGAGTGTAGACGCAGGACGTTTGATGTTGAATTCCATGATCCTTGAAGAATGTTCGAAGACTGAGAAACTCACTACCGTTGTCGCTACGAACAACTTTAATCTTTTTTCCAAACTGTTGATGAGCCATAGCCACAAATTGCCGGAGATGAGTAGCAACTTCACTTTTAGCTAGAATAAGATAAGTCCACACGGCCCGAGAATGATCATCCACGATCGTAAGAAAATAGTGTGAACCACAAGTAGAGGCCAGTTTGTAAGGGCCCCAAACATCGCAATGTATTAAAGAAAAACATGCTTCCGCTTTATTAGAACTTTCCGGAAAAACTGATCTTGTTTGTTTAGCTTGAATACAAACTTCGCAAAAACCACTACTATCACTATTATGGTGATCAAAATCGTCTAAAGTAGATAGAAAACTAGATAGAATCTTCGTAGAAGGATGCCCCAAACGTTCATGCCAAAGAGTTCTTGTGGATTTCTTGACATGATTAGCACTTGCTGAAACCGCTCCACGAAAGTGATAAACCCCGTCTCTCTCTTTACCTGCGCTAATCAGCATCTTCGAAGTGCGGTCCTGTATAACACAAAATTTATCAGTGAATAAGGCGAATGAAGACATCTCTCGTAAAAGTCTGGCTAAGGAGATAAGAGTGCAAGAGAGATCGGGAACATAAAGAACACGATTGAGCTGAACATGGTCTCCAAGAAGCATTGTGCCTTCTTTGATAGCAAACGTGTGTTTCCCGTTGGGAAGAACAATAATACTTCGAGGAATGTTGTGAGTGTTAACTAGGAGATCATCGTCTCCTGTCATATGATGAGACGCTCCGGAGTCAAGTAGAAATTCAACACAAGAACGCTTACCAGAGAGTTTGTCGTGACTTGATGATTGATCTGATTTTAACAAGCTCTTAATCGCAGACCATGTCTCCTTACTTACACCAGGCAGATCGGAAAGGTCATCTTCAGTATCAACTTGAGCATTGTTAGCTCGGTAAGAAGTACGCCCACGACCTCTTCCTCTGTAAGAGCCACGACCTCGTCCGCGACTTGAATCGGTGCGTGAACCGCCCCGAGAAGTACCATGCTTCTCAATCCACCAGTCTGGTAAACCGTGAAGTTCAAAACATGTATCTATCGAGTGATTAGTGCGTCCGCAGTGAGTCCATGGACCTTGATTGAGACGAGTAGCAGATGCAATAGCATTAACACCAGCTTTCACCGCAAACCCGACAGCCTCGATTCGTTCTTCTTTAGATCTAGCAACAAGTAAGTGTCTTTCTTCAGCAATAACTTCGGAGTAAACATGATCAAGAGTCATGTCTGTGTCACGATTAAGCCTGCTAAGGATGTTTGTGCGTGTAGTCCCAAACCGAGAAGCATCGAGTCCCATGAGAAATTGGTGAATACGCTCGAGATCTCGACGTGTTTGCTGCTTAAGACGTTGAGGACAAGTAGGAGAGCTACAACAACAATCAATAAACGGTTCATAGTCGTCAAGATCATCCCACATCACCTTGAGCTTACCAAAGTACTCGGCCACATCTTGTCCGTCTTAAGAGCAGGCAACAATAGAAGATTTGATTTGGTGGACACGAGAAGCGTTACCGATAGAATATCTAATCCGAAGATTGTCCCATAAGACTTTTGAGTTGTCAACGAACGAGATTGCCTTCTGAATCTTGGGATCGAGACTCGCATAGAGCCATCCACACAACATCGAGTTAACTTGTATCCATCGTTGATAATCCGGAGAATCAGATGTAGGTTTCAGAAGTGACCCATCAACAAAGCCGAGTTTGTGCTTTGCTGCTAGGTTATTGCGAGCAATCTTAGCCCACTTCTCATAGTTTTCCCCATTCAGTAGAAAGGAGGTAAGAACATGGTGAGGTTGATCATTAGAAGAGAGATAGTATGGAGAAGATGTGATTGATTCCTTAGTAGGAACGATGGTTCCAGCACCTTCAACCATAGTTTAGATGATAGATAGGTTTTTAGAAGAAAGTAAGATGTAGAATTTTTTTGTGTTCTTCGTGAGGAGGAAGCACAATATTTTTTTTTTTTTTTTTTTTTTTTTTTTTGACGGCAGAAATTTTTTAGAAATTTAGGGTTTTGTAACCTTGCTCTGATACCATGTAAATCTTAGAGAATATGATTGCAAAAGGTTGAGTTTATTATTGATAATCAAAGAGTATATATAGTTACATAAGACTTGATGTACAAGGAAAGAATATTTAGCAAAGATATTAATCGGAAATTATCCATATCCGTAACAAAACTTTTAAAATTTCCATCGAACCGATCACAGGGAGAAAAACAAATTGCAGGCCATAAATACAAGAAATAGATTATTAATCATTTTCACAATAGACAAGGTTTTTATCAAAAAAAAAAAAAAAAAAAAAAGGAGACAACTCAGACAAGGCAAATTAAACGAGCATTTATTTGTGGCCATTTCATGTCACAAGGCTTAACTCCCTGAAAAAAGTTCCAACTATTGGAAGAATAAAGGATACTGTAGGGTGATCATATTATTGACAACTTTATCCATATATAGAAACTTAAAGTTTATTAATAGACTATTGGGATTGAGATGTTATAACTGAGAAGAAAAACAAAGCATAAGTTATGATTTCCCAGCGGCCGCCTAGGCGCTGATCGGAGGAGTACCGCGGCGATTTTGTCCAAATCGATGAAAAAAATCGGAGATCCGATTTTTGTCCGCCTGGACCGCCTAGACGGCGCCTAGCCCGCCTAGACGGCGCCTAGCCCATTTTATTTTTATTATTATTTTTTTTTTTTTACTTTTTTTTTTCATCTAAAATTCAAAACGTCCTACTTATGTTCGTAATTTGTATAAAAATCATAAATTTGAAATTAAAATCTTGTTTTCATGTGTTTAATACAATTTTAAAAACAATATTATATAAATTACTTAATTATAATAGATTAATATGTTTTTAAAATATTAAATAGCCCTAAAACTAATCCCCGATTAATCCCCGTGTAATCCCCGATTTTCTTGCTAGGCGCTAGGCACACCCTCACCGCCCGACTAGCGCCTAGCGATTTTTTGAACACGGGTTATAACTGAGAAGAAAAACAAAGCATAAGTTATGATTTCCCAGCATAGTGAATATAAGTTTGGGCGACTTTTGTTGTATCCAATTTTTTGTGTGGGGTTTCAAATTATACTCTCCTATTCTCTTTCCGAGAATTTCGCTATTCATCATGATTAATTAACTATACCCGTAAATAATATCTAAAGATAGTTTTATGATAGCTAGGATGGGTCGTCAGTAGGCTTTATCCAAAACTCTTAGATGAAATGCATAACATTTACATGTTACTCGCGCTATCACAATGTGTTAAGAAGTAATTATTAAAGATTATTCTATATAATTTTAGTTAAGAATCAATTATTATTATGCCAAGCAGGGAGATGAAAACATAAATTACAAGTTGCATGCAGATCAAGAACATGCAAATTACTTGGACAAATTTTGTTTAGTAGCAACTTTTGTTATATAAATTAATAGTCTCCAGATATTTGAGACAGCTAAACTGCTAAAGTCACGAACTTTTTAGCAACACTTATGTTAAATATTGTGCATGATAACAACCATCATAAGTATATCAATTAATCTTTGATAAAGAAATACACACTAGTAATAAAGATAATCAAATAATTAACATAAATGATAGATCTAACCTGCATAGTGCTAAGCCATGGAAGGTATAGTTCAACAAGTGGGAAATAATAAGATTTAAGTGCATGCGATTATTGACAATACTTCTCTGAATTGGTCTATCCTTTTGTTTCTGTTAATGGGTTATTCGATATTTGATTCATGTGCACGCGTTTACTGACAAATACTTCTGAACTTGTTTATCTTTTCTTTTTTATGGGATATTCGATTTTAAGTGACAGCCAATTACTATTATTTTTATGTTCCCATAAGTTATTATACCATCAAACAAATACATCAAAAATATATGAAGACATTGTTAGATAAGTTGATGTTCTAAACTTATGAATTTAGATGTATAAAGTTTCGATTATTACTAGGAAAATGTTCGTAGTAGTTTTTTACAAATGTATATGGATATATATGTTAAATAGACAATAAAAGGCGACGGTGGAATCTTGTTAAAGTGAGGTCTCTTTTATTTTGTCTTTGAAATGAACTTTTCATTATTTAAACGAAAAGACTATTTATCATATTATAATGTAATGTGTGTATATATATTGAATAGTGAGTTATTTTTCGAATGGTAGGTGGTGAAAAGGAAAGCCGCTATAAAGTAACACTACTTAGGTTGAATGAGGAGTTGGAATCCACTTAAAGTGGCTTGAATTAATGAAAATAAACATATAAAAGGCTTATATCATATTGTATTATTATTTTACACTAATCCTTTCTTTCGAATATCTTAGATATATTTGGACTTCAAGTGGGACAACCAACATGCTTCCATTCCACGAGAAGACATGACTCGATACGTGTAAAGAAACTAAAGCCGTTAAGTGTGTGTGTATCTTCACTTATATTTACCATACTATTTTCTTATTCAGATATTAATAAAGAAGCAACCACATCATTGATGGCCGACTTGTTGGATGGAAAAAAAGAAAAGAAAAAACTAAGTACGATTTCCTCCAATTATTGGGATCAACTGTATTTGCTACTTAATTTTGTGTAGCTTCTACTACCTATTTATTTTCCTTACAATTATATTTATATTTTATATTGCTATAAACGACCAAATAAATAAGACCAGACCCAGATAGATCAAATCTCCCAATACATTTTGTATTAAGCAAAAAAAAATGATATTTCAAAGAATACATTTTGCATAATAACTTTTTGGTTTCAGCCAAAATAATCATTTGATGACGTGGTTTTATGAAACATTTTGTGAAAGATCCATTCATCCCGATATTGATGGGACGCTCACTATAGAAAATAGGATACATTGTATTAACAATAAGCATGACAAATAAAATCATAAGTTGTGCTAAAGACTCAATATTCATAAATAGATGCTTTGGTTGCTGACAAATAGAAAGAAAAGAAGGAGATATATGATTAAGGAAATACAGAAGAAATTAAAGAAAAAAAAGAAGAGAAAACATAGTAGTTTGTTTTTCTATGTGACAGCTATCAATGAGTCACTAATCTATGCACTTGAACAATGGGGTTCATGTGTTATTCTTTGGATCTGTGTCCCAAATTAACAACTATTATGATAGTTCATTTTTTAAGACCAATTGAAATCTTCAAATCCTAAATTTCTCAACAATAGATGATAGTCTTGAGACCGATCTAGAATTATATCTAATATTATGAGAAAATGTTAAAATATCTATAAAATATCTTTTTATTGAGATTCTTACGAATTTTTTTTTAGATAAATTTAGCGAATATACTATTTTCTCTAAAATTTTATGGATTTGTCAATTTTAAACACTTAAAAATATCTTCTTTTTTTTTGTCAAAGAACACTTAAAAATATCTTTAACAAATGATACCGATTAAATCTAAATATAATGAGCTAAATCGTATTATTATAGTCTGAAAAAATAACAAATCTATATAAAGATTTTGGCTTCAATTGGTAACCATAATTTAGGAAAAGAATGAGAATGAATGTGATATTCCTCTTTGTTCCTCAATATTTTTACCATTTACATGTAATATTTTTTCCACACAATTCTTCTACATTCATCACCAAAAGAGAAACACTAGAACAAAAATGTTCCTCTCCAAAATTGATGAGGAACAAATGGAACAAAAAAGGAATAAATATTAAAATTCGTTTTTATTTTAAAATAAATAAAAAAATAATGTTTATCAATAGTATTTGTATTTTATTATATAATAATTTTCATATCTTCACAATATATTAACAGAAAAAATATTTTTGATAAGAATTTCATGTTGAATTACTCTTAAGACTTCACTTGAAAAAATATATAAATAGTAAAATAAATTTAAAAATGTTTATATTGTAAAAGAATAATATATTTTAAATTACTCTTTCAATTTTATTTTATGTTAATATTAAATATTATTATTTAAAATGATATATATAAATTTAGTTCACAAATTTTAGGGTCAAATATAAATTTTCAAATTAAATAAATATAAAAATATTTAGTATTTTTCATTGAAATTTGATTTATTTACTATTTAATATATATCTTTAAAGATATTTTTAATGTTTGGTTACCATTCATCATAATAGTACATTTTATTCATTCTCTGCATCTTTTCCTTTTCGTTCCTCAAAAATTGTTTGTTCCATTCCGCATTATTCTTTTTATTCTTTTTCTTTTTGTTCTTTTAATGGTTATCAGTCGGAGCCTTAAACTAAAATGGCAAATCCACAATTGCCACTTCAAAAAATGGCAAAATCATAACTGATTTATTTATTTATTTTGGGTGCTTGCAAATGTTAAGAATTTAAAAAATTTATAAGTGTTTCTTGTTGCCTAAATCGTTCTTCTTGAAGCAGTGGCAACTGACAAACAGATTCATGTTTGATGTATCCCTTAATTAACACCAACCATTTAAGAATTGTTATGTATGTATATATATATTCCTTAACTACAGCTTAATCGGTTAAACCCCATCGTGTGAAAGCTATAAGGAACCAATTGAAACATCTTAAAAAGGTAACGGGGACCATAATCAGATTCTCAAAATGAATTAATTACGATTAGTCAGGCAATAATACAGGTTTTTAAGCACACACGTGTCACCATAATGGCCCCGTCCTCTTTCTTCTCTAATTTGCTTCTCCCATGTTGTAGGCTTTTTATAGGCTTCGAGAAAATTTGTGTACTATACATTATTTTTAATGAGAAAATTAAAAATAAAGGATATCTACTTAAAAATTTGTCTATATATCCCTTCTTCTTGTAGATTGGTCAAATAGGTTTTTTGAAAATAAAAAACCCAATTTTACCCTCATTTTCTCTCAAAATTAATAAAAATTGATTTTAAAAATAAAACTATGTAATGTATTTACTAAAATTAAATAGAAATC